GCTAAGTGGCTCTGGACGCTCCCGAAGCCAAATTTCTGATTCAGCTGTGGGACATTTCTGTGTCGGGCAGGCGCGCTGAGGCCTCTCCCTAACTCATCCACTTGATTCCCAGTCTTTCATGCAGACTGCTGTTCTCAGACAAAAGAGAAATTACTCAGACTTTAGGTGAACAGACTAGATAAATTAAGAGCCATAAAATACTACTATTAAAAATTTTATAAGCAAGTTAAATAAAAATCAGCCTTTTTATTCACCTCTAAAATAAGTACCAGATAAGCATATTATTGATTTTGTTAAATGGAAACTTAGACTAAGGCACTCAAGCTCACATTTTCTTTGTCGCAAAACCATCATCAGATAGGACTAGGTAACAGCATTCGGAGGCCAAATTAAATGGAAAATGAAGATTTCCCATGTGGAAATTTCTGCATCGCACTTTTATTGACGTGTGTGACTCTCTCCAGCCGTCCTTTGGTTTCCACAGCCGGCCGTCTTTGGCCCACATGACTGCTATTGACCACGTCTCTCCCTCTCTCTCACCCGCGATACCATTCTCAGACTCTAAAGGGGTTAATGTGGGGATAAAACCCAATGGCAAGCGGCAGAGCCCTCATACTTGAGTTGAAAATGCTTTAAAACCCTTTAGTGAAAAATAATGCATTGTGCTTGTTAAAGCATGAGAATTGTTCTTAATGGGTTAGATCCGTATTTTCTCATGTTCCAAGTTTTCTTGCTAATGGTTATCCCAAGGGAAGCTTTATGGCTGGGGACCTTGACTTCAGAAAGCAAGGCACGCCCCCAAATAACACTTGCTTTCCCTAAAACCTGCTTTAGTAAATTTGTTGCATCTCTTCTTGATTTTATTCATACATAAAGGATATTTATTGGATCCGGGAATTTTGTAAGTATACTAGAAGCTGTGTGATAAAACCTTGCCTTTCAGTTATTAAAACTTATTTTTTTAAATTTCCAAAGAAAGCATCCTAGGGTTTATGTCCTGGGATTCCATTCCAAGTGCAAGTTCACAATATCCATAACCTTTCAAATTTTAATCATATTTTCCCTTCCTGTGTCTTTTTTTTAATAACTGTTAATTAAAAGATATATTAGAGCATAATAAAACTACATATCCTCTAATGTACTTTCTATTTTGGACAAAGTGAGCATCCCTCTTTAAAACTTGAATCATGAGAATTTTACTGTGATCCGATTCAAACAAAGCACTACTGTGCATACCACTTTTTATAATATCATCTGTCCAAATATTTGCCACTTTAACATCTTCCATTTCCCATCAACTGAGGATGGGAAGATGATGATGCACTTTTCACAATTTTCCGCATGCATGCACTGTGACTTTTAGCAAACTATAATTATTAATAACTAATAAATAACAGTGTACGATGATACAGACTGTTTTTCAGGGCTAGAACCCAGCATTTCTATATTCAGAACCCTGTGGGCATGGGTTGTTCGCGTCGTAAATAGCACTTGCTGTTTTATGTGGCACATGTTTATTTCCGTTGAAAGAAAATGTCCTATTTTTGAGGAAGGAAAGGAACTTGTAAGACATCAAATGTTTCTTGCAAAACAATTTGATGAAATAAATGTAAATGAATCAGAAACATGTGAATTGTATTACAATTAAAATTAATGGGTTTAAATATGAAGGGGGTAAATCGCTTGGGGGAGAGAGTGTGGTAAGGCGGGAAGTGACATTTGTTTTGTTTTCATCAGTCCTGGATTCTTGAAAAATGGCCTAATACTCTCAGTTCAACCTCATTCAGATGCTTTCATGCCTAATGACGGAATTACAAAATGGGAAAATAATATACAAATTCATTTTATAGCTTTATCTGGCTCCAATTATAATGTATGCATTAAATGTTGCCACTATGCAATCCTTCAGAAAAATCACTTTCAATTTGAAGTTAGTGATTTTTCTATGTAATTCTTTTAGGGG